GCGGGTATATATGATTTTGTCACCCTTCTCGTATCTGTGAACGCATCTGGTAACTGGTTTGCCAAATTATGCAAATGCACAATTTTCTGAACTTTCAGCTCTCTTTGATTCGTAGGGGGATCAAGGTGTAACAACGATGGTGTACACCAAGTAATCTCTCTAGGAATTTCTCTAATTCCTCCCCCTAACGCTGAAAATTCTTCCTCATTAAAATGGCAATCGGCAAATCGTGCCGTAAACATATCACCAGTTACTGGTTCCAGATATCTTATAATACTTGGTGACACATAACCCACATATACTCCCAATCTCCTCTGTGGGCCCATTTTTGTTCTTTGTGGCGGAGCTATCGGAACATAGATCGCACACCCAAAGACACGGAGATGGGATACATCTGGCTCATGCCCAGACGCCAATTGTAATGGGGAGTACTTATGATATGCACTCGGTCTTAACCGAATTAGTGCATCCGCATGCAAAATAGCATGACCACATACTGAAATTGGGAGCTTTGTTCTCAAGATCAACGGCCTTGCAATCAACTGCAATCGTTTAATTAATGACTCGGCCATGCCATTCTGTGTATGAACATGGGGCACTGGATGTTCCACATCAATCCCCACTGACATACAATAATCATTAAAGTCTTGCGATGTAAATTCACCAGCATTATCAAGTCTTACTTTCTTAATGACATATCCTGAGAACTGCGTTCTCAGCCTTATTTTTTGGGGAATAAACTTTGCGAAAGCCGTATTTCGTGTTGTTAAAAGACACACATTTGACCATCTACTAGATGCGTCAATCAATACCATGAAATACTTAAACGGCCCGCATGGTGGGTGGATCGGTCCACATATATCACCATGTATTCTTTCTAGAATCATTGGTGATTCATTGCCTAATTTTGCTGGTGATGGCCGAGTTATAAGTTTTCCTTGAGAACATGCTTTACATGTAAACTCGCCCGTCTGCAAAATTCTTCCGTTTTTCAACGGATGGCCATTTGAATTTTGCACTATTTTTCTCATCATGACTGAACCAGGATGTCCTAGCCTCTCATGTCAGATTTTAAATGTATCAGTAAACTTCATGTTTACCATGGCATAGGACTCAGTCATGTGTATTTCTGTACAATATAGTCCAGAGGATAACATTTTTAACTCTTCCAATATATGTTTCCCCTCGGACTTAATGCAAAGAAATTCAATGCTATCTTTACACATAGTCTCAATATGGTATCCATTTCTTCGGATATCCTTGAAACTTAACAAGTTTCTATTAGACTCGGGGGAGTATAATGCATTACTTATTTCAAATATTGTCCCCCTTAGCATTGAAAATTTCACTCTTCCAGAGCCCATTATAATCTTTGCATTACCAGATATTGTACTTACGCTTCCAGCGTAATCTTTTATTTTGAGACTGGAGAAATATTTCTTATCTTTGATTATCGTGTGCGTCATAGTACTATCTGCCAAACACATATCTCCATCCATAGTCTCAAAGTTTGGCATTCTTTCTGAAAACATGTATTATTAAACTTATATCACATAACATAAAACATGCATTATTAAACAAGAAATATAACATATATCTTACAACAAAAGATATAGATACTATAATACAGTAAACTTAGATCACATCGATTTTATATTACTCATCGATACTCTCTGGCTCAACCAGAAAGTCTGATACGTCGAGATGAGTATCATCATTTAAACCATGAAAGGATGGCCCGGGTTCATCAGAGATGAAGTTTGTTTCACCTCCTTTCTCTTTTCTCTTTTGAGATTCTTTATACAGATTGGCTAAATGTTTTGGCGTACGGCAAACATGTTGCCAATGCCCTTTCATACCGCATCTGTAGCAAACTCATGTTTGCTTTTTATCATCCCGGCCCCTTTCACCTTTCTCATTTTCGTGGAAATCTTTATTATTTCCTTTATCATATGGACGGAATCTTCTTCCTCGTCCTCTTCCACGACCATGATTTCGACCACGTCCACGACCTCGTCCTCTCCAATTATCATAACTGGATGATGCAACATTCGCTTCAGGGAATGGAGCAGATCCAGTGGGACGAGCCTGATGGTTTAAAGTCACGAGTTGATTATTTTCCTCCGCTACAAGGAGGACTTGCATCAACTCCGAGTAACGGGTATATCCACTTGCTCGGTATTGTTGCTGCAGGACTATATTTCCAGGATGGAACATGGAGAGAGTTTTCTCGATCATATCATAATCACTTATTTTCTCCCCACATAACATCATCCTAGATGTAATTCCGAACATAGCGGAATTAAACTCACTAACACTTTTATAGTCCTGGAACCGGAGATGGATCCACTCGTGTTTAGCTTTTGGTAAGATCACATATTTCTGGTGATCAAACCTCTCTTTTAAAGATTGCCAGAGGTCCAAAGGTTCCTCTTTTGTAATATATTCATCTTTTAAACCATCATGTATGTGGTGTCGCAAAAATATCATGGCTTTAGCCTTTTTCTCATCTGACACCGTTTTTGTATTATCGATGGTTTCCAAAAGCCCATTTCTTCTCAGGTGCATCTTCGCACCCACTGCCCAGATCATATAATTATTTTCCGTAATATCCAGGGCATTTATTTCGAGTTTTGTCAGATTCGACATGATAACTGTATTCATAGAATAATAATATAAAAATATAATAAAGACGAGAATTTAAATGCATAAACTAAAAGCATAACATAAAAGCATAAATTAAATTGCAGTATTTAAAGAGCATAAAATAAAAGCAAAAATTAAATTGCAGAAATTTAAAAGTATAAATAAAACTGGAGGCTTAACCTTCCAAATGATCCGAGGAGACATAGTCTACCATGTTGATCACTTTTATCAAGGTTTGAGGAGACATAGTCTGCCATGTTAACCTTTTCTTTTATTCAAGGTCCGAGGAGACTTAGTCTACCATTTTTGACATTTTATTTTTATTAAAGATCCGAGGTGACATAGTCATCCATTTTGATCTTTTTATTCACGGAGGCAAAGCCTATCACGTGTTTCTCTGATCGTGACGGCATAGCCATCTTATCGATCAATCGGGGAAGGCAACGCCTATCATCCCGAAAAATAAACGGAGAAGGCCTAGCCTCTTACTCCGAAGCAATAATAAAATTAAGATAATTAAAATTATTGAAAGACATAAATTAAACCTTACCTCACCGGTATAACCTTGTTTGATATAGGATTAGAGATTCGTGCTGATAACGTGTTGTATAATATATATTATTATACTTTATATTTTGTGTTTAGGTAATAACAAAACACGAGAGAGAGAGCTGAGATGATGATAATTGTTAAACTTAATTCTCATGATCTTTGCTTCGTACATAGGTATTTATAGTGTGTCAAAGTCGGTTTGTGAACCGATTAATATAAAAAGACAAAGCAGATATTTTATATTAGATAAGCATAATCTAATATATACAGCAATATATGAAAATATTTCACAAACAATAATGGTGCAACTGAAAAGATAGAAGTCGTACTATTGTAAAATCTAAGCTAAAATATGAAAATGAAATGATATGCACGGATTTATACAAAACAAAGAGACAAAAGATGATGGAGACCAGACGTCGAAACAAGTGGGGGCGTAGAAATTGACCTTCTCGTGAGCTACATTTTGATAATAATGTTCCTACAAATCTCTTATTCTGCACATCTCATTCAGTCTACATGTCTGATTAATTACTATGGGGGTTGAGATTTTAATTCTATCGAAAAGGTTGACTTGAATCAGAAGATTTTGCAATGTATAGTTTTCTAATTTATATGAAAAAATTATCATAAGATAGTAAGGTTATCTAGTGAACAAAAAAAAAAAAATGATAGTAAGGTTAACTGAAACCAAACCAAAATGCTATGAACTGATAATTTTTTAATTTGTATAGTTTTTAAAAAAATCTTTAAAGACGTGTTCGTACAAAAAAATATGCTATAGACAATTTATCACGGATTAAAGATTTTTTCTTATGGATTTATCTAACAGACTAACACATACCATGAAAAATGATACAGCGGACAATACACCGTAACTTTGTATAGACCTAATTAGATAGATTCTATTAGGTTGTAAGTTATTAGAAGATTATATGTAAATATTAGGGCCGGCCGGATTCATATGTGTTATTAAAGAATAAATAAATAAATAAGTTTTACGCGTCGGATTCATATGTGTTATTAAAGAATAAATAAATAAATAAGTTTTTGGATTTGGTAAAGCTATTATTCTGAATAATTTGATTAGAGTGAAGGCTCATCAAATAACAGAAGAGTTGAAAGTCCTTTACCGTAGGAAAGTTAGATGAAGTTGTAATCTTTACTTCCAGTTATGGTTTTAATTTTAGTTTCCTCTTTTTTTCTTTGTTTTTATATATCTTCCCCCACTGCTATTTATTTTTTTAATTTGTTCGAGGAACTCCGCTTATATAAACTTTTGTTTGTATTTTTGTATTTATTTATTGAATGGTAGAAAATGAATATTTATTAAAATTATGAATAATATAGCAAAGCCACGAAAATAATATCTTATATAATAAAGTTGAGTTTTTTTTTCTTCCATGAGGGGTAAAAATGTCATGTGTCACCTCATTAAAGTTAAAGAAATTATTTGTTGGACCTTAGAAAAAAATATATTATCGGTAAGATGCATATTTATTTTGGGTTTTTATTGTTGTAGATTACATTTGGACTTTTGGATTATAGAGACCCTTTAATATTATTGGTTTGTTCGGAATAAGTTATCAACTCTCTGTAACATCTCGAAACACGCTTGATTCACACCTTCTTTCCTTTTATTTTCTAAGTGATTAATCCACTCTGGATCATTGAAGCCAGCTCATCACATTCCAAAAATAACCATGTAGAGGTGTAAGTATAAATATCCCTTTTGCAGACATGAACAACACAGTTTCGACGAGCATTAGAAAAAAATTTTGTTCAACTTTCTAATTGCTACAATGGTGATTTATTCCATCGTCCATACCGATTTGAAAGCTGGGCGCTGCTCCAACACCACTGAGGTTTGCTTGCTGAGGTTTTGGGAGGCCAGAAATGTGAGGAAAACCGGTGAGTTCATGAGTCTAGACACGCTCCTCATCGACGAGAATATAAGCATCTCCTTTCTGATTAACGCTGTTGAAGATTGGTTCTATTATGATTGTCTAAATTTTTTTTTGTCATTTCTAACAATCAACGATTATTCGAGGTTCCGTTAATGTGAACAGTCAATTCATGTTCATGCAGCGTCTCAGTGAAGGGTCAGTTTACAGGTTGAGCGGGTTCGTTGTAACGCGCAGCAACCCCAATTTCCGGATGTTGGATGCCCCTTTCTCTATTCGATTCAATAATGAAACTTCTATAGTTAAGAAAACAACATCTGTTAGGTCCATACCTACTGAACTTTTCAGATTCCTAACCTGTTATGAAGTATAAATATGATATTGCCGGAATATTAAGTTATACTTATAATTATTAGGCAGTGTGTGTTCATTACTAACTTTTAATTTGGAAAAATTGGCAGCTAGCGAACACATTGAGATAAAACTTGGTACCTAATTGTTTAACAAGAAATTAATAAAAATCTATAACCAAAAATAATACATAATTAAAATGAAGACTTCAATAACAATTAGTGAAAAACATAAAATAATATATAACAGATAAAACAATAATGAAAAAGCGATTAAAAAGTTTTAATATGATAACAAGAGATCAATGATGATTGTATATCTAAATAAATGTTATAAAAGAGAAATCGTATGTTATGACTTCCCAGAAATCTTCAAACACAAATTTAATATGGACATGAAAATTAGAAACAAACTATTTGTAAAACCGGAAAGAAACGCTATATAAATTAAGATAAAATAACCGTAGAAATCAAACTATATAATCTAAAATAAGAAAAATGCACCAGAAGATCTATAGTTCCAAAATAAAAATAGTCTTAGTCTCACTAAAGTATATCAATAATTTTATTATGAATTAAGTTTTTGCAACAAGAGTAAGACAGAATATCAAAGCATTAAAACTTTTTAATAGAAACTGATACAAATAATAATTAAATAAAATAATTCATATATAATGATGATAAAATATTTCAAAATAAAACAAGTGTTAAAAAAATATCTAATAAAAAAATTCATGGAAATCACGGATCAACTACCAGAGAAAAAATATTATTTATAGAACAAAAAAAACTTAAAAATGTATAAAATGGGGAAAATAAATTATTTATGTATTGGATTTAAATATTTTGCGAATATTTCCTTATTTTTATAATAAAAACATAAAAAAAATAAAAGTAAAAAAATAATTACATTAATTAAAATTACAAGGATGTGCTTTCTAACAAGAACAACAAAAATAAATATCGAAGATTAGTTATTTTCAATTAAAAATAATTTTTTTAAATATGGTTAATTTAAAATATAATTTTTGTGGTTTTTAATTTGTTCACCCGCCCGTAGGACGGGCTTAACCCTAGTGTATAATAAATTGAAATTTGAACATAAGAAAGAGATCTTCTAGACCCTAATTACTTTCTTTTATTCTCTATTGATTGCAAAATTAATAATTTCGCTTAGTCGTTTGAAGTAGTGATAGTACTTGCATACTTTAGCCATGTTATTTGGGACCGCACCTTGTTCATCGCTTCATGTGAACCAAATTTGTGTAATACCAATTTTTCATTGGAACCAGAATTACACTTAGTGAGTTTACAATTTATTTAATGTTTTTAGTAAAACAAATATGTTAAAAATATGTGAGAAAGAGAATGATATTTTTCTTTTCCATTCAATTTGATAGTAGATACTCACCGTAGTGATTACTTTGTTTAAAATTTTATTAGGTCAAAGTGAGATATAATAAGTGCTTTCCTAAATTTAAAACTTTTGTTATGGTATTTTAGCATAAAATATTTACCCAAAAAATTTAGTTTGATTATAGGGTATTTTAGCATAAAATATTTACTGATGATATTTGGTATGATTTTACTTTATTTTAGCATAGAATATTTTAAAATACTGGTGTTTTGATGCAGCCTGGATACCTAATTTAAACTTCGATTTGATAGCATGCAGGGAAGCTTAATCGTCTACGGTTTATGAGAAAAAAAACACTTATATTTTATGCTAAAATAGCATGCAGGGACAGCCTGTCCCCCTCAGCCTGTAAGGACGGGGGAGCCTTGCCCTGAAGCGCCTGAATGTCGGCTATCCCACCATCCACGGTCGCCAAGTCCAAGCCCCTATTGTGAACGCACTCGAGGGAACCAAGAGAGTCGGAAATCTTTGCCAAACGGGCCTGAAACTCAGTGCAGAGAGCAACCTTAGCTTCCTCAACCGTGCGATTTGCCGACTCCTCACCACTCTCGATCTGACGTTGGAGTCGACGCACTTCCGAGGAATTGGTTTTCTTCGCCTTCTTTTCCTCAATCAAAGAACTCACTGTCTTCCCAAGATCCCTCTCGAGTTCGCCAATCTTTGCCTCGAGCTTGGACACCTTTGTAGCGTGAGATCCCTTGACAGCTTTTAGCATAGCTTCAAACTCAGACAACTTAGTCCTCGCCTCCGATAAACCCCTTCGCAAGACGACTAACCTCGCTACCGCAAACATTGATCATACCATCGATCAGCAACACAAACTGCGGGATAAGGCCACATTGAGAAACACTAGAATGAATAAGGATAAAAAGAACCCAGTATCTCAAAAATAAAGGGATAAAAATGAACCTTCCCACGGAAACTTGGCATTAGGCTTGACCCCTCTTGTTGCAAGGGTTCCCCGTCGTTTCCCCTGGTGCACTTCCTCTTACGTAGCGACCGAGCTCAACCCGAGTCTTTTCACTCTCGTCTACTCTTTGATGCAATCTCCCGAAGATCACCCTTGAACTACCATTCTTTCCTTATCAATCAGAGTTATCGTTCAGACTTTACGCTAAAAACTGCGAAAAGCTTGTTTTTATCATAAAGAAACCGTAAAAACGTTTCTAGTCGAAATACGGCCGAAAGAGGTCTAGAACGCAACTAGATCCTATGACGGTTTATCCTTGGCCGGCAAGAGAAGATCAATGTGAAGTTTCCACGGATAAATGTTAAAGTTCCGAAGATAATCATGAAGGAAGATAATCATGAAGATCGGGAAAAATGGAAAATCTCCATTTTTGGGCTATGACGGCTTAAGGGCAGAAGTGGAAAGCGTAAACCGACTTTGGAGGGAGTATATAAGGAATTCAAGGCAAGAGAGACGAAGAGACATAGAAGAAACTTAGCACTTAGAGCATTTAGGCAATTTTCATTTTTGTTATTCGAGCTGCGTCTCAATTAGGGTTTCCGCAGTCTTAGGTTGCTAGAACTAGGATCTCGCCGTCAGCTCTCGTAGCCAAGGCTCTTAACTCGTTGTAACACTTAAACACAAATTCAGAATTAGACTTCTTTTTGCTCTCTTTCAACTCATATTCGTAGTTTTATTCTTATTATCGCCTTTTTACTTATTGTTCTTGATTGCTTGGAGTGTGGTATAACAGATAACCAAGATCTCTGGAAAATTAAGGTTTACCCTACGTTCCTAATTCAACGAAAATCGACAGTGCAAATTTTGGTTCCCACACCAATAAGTCCTGATCACTTGTTTTTGACCTATATCCAAGAATTCATATGAAGTGAGCCTTAATGGTTGTAGCCACCATATCCCATTCGAATCATTTTTGTTGGAATAATTCTGAATCAAGCCCTAATGGTTGTAGCCACCAAGTCCTGTTCTGATTCCTCCTAACTAAAATCTATAAATCTAATATTAATTTCCATTTTTTTAAACTTCATAAATTTACTTATCTATCTAAGGTCGAAAATAGAGAGAGAAAATGTGATAAATCTACACAAGGCTTTAACTTCAAGACTTGTTTGAAGAATCTGATCCTGTGTATACCAAGCTCCAAGAAGTTTTGTCAGGTTTAGTGTTGAAGTTCAGCTTTGGTTCCTTCAAACAATCTAAGCAAGTGTGAACAGTTGACATGTTGATCAACTTTAGCATCTTTAGTATTATCTGTAATCATTAGATCTTGAATGGTGCTAAAAATTGGTTAGACAACAAGTATAAATCAAACAGGATCATCATCCTTTTTTGAGTTAAAAAATTGGTTTTTGAAAACAATTTTCATAACTCATAGCAAATAAATATCAGTAAACCTCCCCCCCCCCCCACACTTAAATTACACTATCCCAAGTGTAAAACAGTCGGAGTTGTGGCAAAATAAATAAATCAAAAGTACTCAATGTAACGAGGAAGAACGATATACGTGACCGGACTAAATATCGATCGATGTGTATGTGTATGCATCGATCGTCGTAGGTGTTGTTGTGTCGATCGATATTGACAATGTCGCGTCGGTCGAAAAGACGGTAATCTGTTTCTCCTTGGATCCTTTTTTTTTCTTTTCTTTTTTTTTTTAAAACCTACAAAAATGAAAAACAAAAAAAAGATTTTAATAAAGTAAAAGAAAACCAAAATAAAAATTACCTAATAGTGGGTTGCCTCCTACTCAGTGCTTTGTTATAGCAATTTAGCTTGACTTTTGAGGTATGTTGAGCTAGTGTGTGGAAAAATAGTACTTGTTGGAAAACAAGTATCCACATCATCTCTGCTGGTTCTGGACCAAGTAGGCATGAAACTTCTAGTGGCTTCATCACTTCTGGCCCATCTTTCATCCATCTTGGCAACTGTGTTTGAGATGTTTTGAAGTCTCTCATCAAGACTCTCAATGCTGATGCTGTGCCGTTCAATCTTATCATAGGCATATACCCCAATTACTTTAATTCCTGTTGCACTGAATCATACATGACTGACTTCTCCTGTAACAGCTTCTTCTGGTCTGGTGCGGACTCGGCATCGATCACTGCGACTGTTGTTGTGTCGATAGTTTATGATGTGGTACCGTCGATAGATTTACCTATGTGTATGTCGATTTATGCTGCAGCTTCAGGATGACATACAAGTCGTTTCTGAATTGTCTTGACTTCTTTCTGCAGCCACTGTGTTCTTGAATGTAATCCACTGATGCTGTTGTTGAAGGGGAAGAATATGTCATCACATCTCTTGTCGAGCCTGTCCTCAGTAGTATCCATAGCTTTTTAGACTTTATCAATGACTTGATCAACCTCTGCTCTGGTATAGAATTTCTGCATCCGTAGTGTCTTCGTGTCGATCAATTTAC